AGAATGAGGCCGAGGTACTTCAACTGCACCCCGACCCCGATACGGACGCCTCCAACCACGATATGGGCATCGACAGGTGGCACTCTCCGGGGCCTGTGGAACCACATGGCCTCGGATTTACTGAGCGCCACGTCGAGGCCCAATCTCCTGATTTTGCCGACGACATGCGCCACCCCAGCCGTAGCAAGACGGGCAGACTCAGCAAAACTCCCCCCCCGGGCCACGACCAACGTGTCGTCTGCGTAACAGATTACGCTCAGGCCCGGGAGGAGGGCACCCCTCAGCACCCAGTCATACCCGATATTCCACAAAAGAGGGCCGAGCACCGACCCCTGTGGAACACCGCGCACGACCGGGAACCGGTGCACGATCCCACCGTGTCCGGTACACGTGACCGATCTGTCCTCTAAGTAGGAACCCACCAGCCGGCGAAGGTAGGGGGGCACTCCGTGTCGTTCCAGCGCCCCCCCTATCACGGACCAGGGCAGGGTGTTGAACGCATTGGCGATATCGAGTGACACCGCCAAAGCCACCCCACCCCCGGAAACGGCCTCATCCGAGAGGGCCCGTACGCGAAGGATCGCGTCTACCGTTGAGCGGCCCTCTCGGAAGCCATACTGCTCCGCCGACAGATCGGGTCCCACCCTGACCAGATGCTGGATGATGCGGGCTGCCAGAATGCGTTCCAGCAGCTTGCCCACCTCATCCAGCAACACGATGGAGGAATACCCTTACCGAGTTTTCTTGTATTTTTCCAGGCTTAAAGATTAGGTGAAATCGATTTTAAGTATGCCTTTAAGATATCTTTGATCATGATGTTTACTGTCTCTTTAGGAATAAAGGCAAGCGGATCACCTAATGCAAAGACATTAAAAAAAATCTACAATCTTTACAATTACTCATTATTATTATTTAGACATCAAATTTAAACGAAAACTGATTAGCTTTATCGAAAATCGTACATACGTACTTGAACTGTATTCAATGACAACGACGATTTGCACAGAATCGAGACATTACTATGTAAAGGAGGTTTTGATTCGTAGTCCTCACTCAATGTCGAGAGAGTGGCTCTTTCGCAATACAAAACGGGCGCCGCGCGCTACTGGCAATTGGTGCGAGGTTATCTAAGGACCTCGACGTTGTCGGTACACAGGCAACGGCTACCCGCTAAATTACTAATTGTAGTTGTGAGACATTAATTTCAAGT